CCCCTCTCTCCAGCGACTGAACACCCCCTTCCCTAGCTGGGATTTCCAACGTACGACGTGACCCGAAACCTATGCCTTGGACCGCGAAGGGTCACAAAACGCGGGGCTAGTGCCCCTTGCCTCCCCATTTACGCTAGCGCTGGATCCACTAATCAGGCGAATCGAAGCAGAACCATGAATAAAGGAATGAAAAACTACCGATTGATTCCACCTTCCCCTACCAATTTTCCGGAACTGAGGATTTTCGAGAGCGGTTCGTATACTTTCTTTATTTGCGAATTTTTTTTTCATTTCGCACATTCTTTCAGCTTGCAGAGTATGAACCGCTTGATATTCCGTAAAACACTGTTCAGAAGAATTCAGTTAAAACCAATTGCTTTGAACCTACTCATCCTTAGTGTCATGTTTTAGGTGGGTGGGCTGGAGCCATTTGCATAACACTTGGGAATCGGAAGCCTCCATAGCTGCAATGGGTGCAAATGGCAGTAAAAAATTGTACAATTTCATCAAAAAGCAAAAAGAAATGGATGAATGGTGAGTTGCCCGACACATTATTCTTCATTCCATACTCGCGCTATTTCTTGTTTTAGGAAACGCACGGCAGACAAAGAATATATAGAATTCTATGAATGTGAACAAGTAATGAGTGAAGAACTGTGTGAAGAATACCTAAAGGTTGAGCGAATAGTTGCGCACCAGGTAGTGCTTTGCACCCTCTTACTAAACATAATCCAAGAAGAATCGGCAATTGTAACAGGTGTCTCGGGACAGAAACGCGGAAGGAGTCGAAGCAACTGAGTATTACGTGAAATGGTGCGGTCTCTCATATTCCGATTGTACCTGGGAAGATGCTAAGCTTTTACCTCCAGAAAAGATCGAAGCCTATCATCGTAGCTCGAGAAACTAATCGTGCCACGCTAGAAAAATGCACGCGTAACGATCTTTTATGTTACTTCGCTGCTGAAAAGCGTTCCTATAGGTTGTTCGGCGATAGAAAATGCGCCTTTGAGTTTAGACAAATTTTTTAGTTATAAAAACGAGATGCCAACATTTATTTAAAAAGATAATCTCTCATACTATCGACTATAATGACTTGTTGCCAACGTTGTATGCAAGAATTGATTCCTACTTTCGATAAGAACCGGCCGGCTGCTACCCGAGAGCTAGTTGATCACCCAGAGTTGGATCTTCTCGCCGGTTTTGTGAACATTCTCTCGGCAGAGGGAGTGGTGCATCGACGCGGAGCAGATGGTAATACGATGTGCCAGCTTTGCTGTGATGCGGATGAAGCAGGACTTCCCAGCCCAATTCCTCAATTTTTTCCAAAGTGATTTTCGCGACATGTGGACGAGCGTTGTCGTGGAGGAGTTTTGTCGACGTCGTTTCGACACCTTGACGACGCAGTAAGAAGAGAGAAGAAGTAACTTTTTTTTTCAAAAAAAACAAAGTAGACATAGACAAAATATATCAAAAGATGCACAATAAAAATCTCTTTCTAATAGACAAAACTGTTTAAAAAATCTTCTATAGTAGGAGAGAAATAAATGGACAAATTCAACGCGCATTTCTTTCCGAACAACCTAATACTTTGCGTCAGCTTTAAAGCCGCTAGGAAAGTATGGGTGTCGAGCCAGCTTTCCAGCGTTCCGAACATCAGCTCAAAACGCTAGCTCGATACCTATAGCCTCACGCAACCGCTGAAAAAGCTGCGTATGCTCAAAACGCTGACGCCAAGTGTGAAGGCACTCGCCACTCTAGTTACTGAAATCTCTAGTTGCTCATTAAAGGTGTTACGCAAAAGACCAAAGTTTGTGAAGTTTGACGAGATGCCATCGTTCCTTCAAACTGGAGGCAAAGATCTCGTTCCTACGCGACTATCAGCTTGAAGGTCTGAACTGGATGTTGCACGCTTGGTGTAAGCACAATTCGTGGTATGTTCTTTGCTTCTAGCTCGTCATTAAGGCTTAAAGAATAGGATTAATTTTTGTTTTGCAGTATTCTCGCTGATGAGATGGGTCTGGGTAAAACGATCCAATCGATTTCGTTCTTAGCCGCTCTCTATTACAAATACGATCTTTATGGACCTTTTCTGGTCGTTGTACCATTGTCGACTATGGCAGCATGGCAGAAGGAATTTGCCCAGTGGGCCCCGGATATGAATCTTGTCACCTACATGGGTGATGTGAATTCACGTGAACAGGTATGTGCAAAAGTACCTTACAATTCATAACAGTTTGCGCTGTGTAGGCTAATGCTATGCTGTCAGGTCTTCACAAGGTGGCCTGAATCAGCCTCACTGAGTGCTATTAGGTGCTCCCCCCAAGCCGAACTGCTCCGATGCCATTCTGGAAATCAGGATAGGTGTCAGAAAACTCATTCGACGCTGCGTTAAAGATGTGCTCCAATATTCATTCATTTTAAAAGGAGAGGAATGCGTGGTTTTCTAGATCCTATTTCCCCTCTCTAAAACGGTCTGACTAGTATGAATTTTCTGACCAGTGCGCGTGGTACTTTGGGAAATCCCAAGGGGGACATTCGGTCGCTGGAGCGAGCTCTGTCGTATTTGGCCAGTAAGAACTCGCCATTCCAGATCCGACAATTTGAGTGGTATGTGGCTGGCACGAAGAAGCTTAAAGTAAATGCTGTTCTCACTACTTATGAGATCCTTCTCAAAGACAAGGTAGGTTTCTTTCGCATTATCGTTCCTTAATTTTTCAAGCTTTCTTTCATATTTACCAAAACAATGAAGTTTTTTGTTTACCTTGAGATCGTTCTCCCAAATATTGGACCCATCGAACACTGTATATAATTATTTTCTAGATTGAATCTTTGAACCGCTTTCCTTTCAACACTAATATGTTTTAGCCGTTTCTGGGCAGTTTTCAATGGGCAGCGCTGGCTGTTGACGAGGCTCATCGGTTGAAAAATGACGAATCTCTACTATACAGCTGCCTGTCTTCGTTTAACTGTGATCATCGCCTTCTGATTACCGGGACTCCCTTGCAGAATTCACTGAAGGAACTATGGGCATTGCTGCATTTCATCATGCCTGAAAAGTAGGTGTTTCATGTTGAAAAGCAAAATCAAACAAAGTTTTACATAGGAAATATCAAGGCCGAGGAATTATTGTATAGCTATCGCCCTTTTAATTACCAGGAAGGTCGTTCAGGACGTGGAGCGCTTTTTGAAAACGGTTTCTTGCATGATGTAGGGTCACGTGCATGGAGTACCAAAGTGACGTTCATTTTTCCTACGCGCATCTGGAAATACCAAAAAAGGAGTGAAAAAGAAATCTATATGAACCGGTGGTTTTTGAGCTACTTTGTGAGCTTAAAATGACTTGAAACTTCGGCCAGTTGCTGAGTGGAGGGTCCTTATAAAGGTACTATTGGAGTGGAAGAGGAAAATAGCCGCGAATGGGGTCTTACCTGAGGCACGTCATTGAGAATGAGCGGCTCTGAGCGGCTTGTCGGCGGTTTCTTTCAATGATCGTAGTGGTTTCCAGCACACGATGCGATGACTGGTGATAGCGTGAAGGATCTCATCGGGACGGCGAGGGTAAGGGTTGATGGTTGAACCCCTCGGCGGCGCGTGTTTTTGCATTTTTTATGGTTTCGTACTGTTTTCGCGTTCTATAGATTCTGCTTATGAATTTTTACTCGGGTTTCTACCATTTATGGGCACATTCTAAATAGTTATACCCCATAATTCGGTGCTATTGAACAATTCCGATTTTCACATACCATTAGGTAAGAGCTTCTCTCAAAATGATCTTTATATGTTATTTGGTGCCCTGATCACGACTATGGCACTTGATTTCAGCTGCGGTGCCATTTATCCCCAATTTGGAGCCACGTCTTTCTCCCACTGGAGTCGCTATGTACATTCGTTTGAGGGACTTGCAGGGCCATTCTGACGCCAGATTGGGATTGACGTCAAGAATAAGTGTCAGAATCGTGATCAGGACCATCGATTACCTCTATAGGCACGCTTTCAGCCAAAAAAAATTTTTTTGACTTTCTTAGGTTGTGTATTGGGTTATGCTCTCACTCTGTTGATGTCGTACTTTTCCAGGTTACCGGAGCCCCATTCATTGGTACGGAGACATAAAACTAACAGCAACGATAAACGTCATCAAAAAAAGGACGAAACGGTTATCATTCCTCCAGTGCATTGACAAAGTGAAGGAATCGAATAGAGTTTTTGGAGAAGGAAGGGAACGACATCTTCGTTGAGCAAGCAGTCGCGTAGGGTCGACAATTCCAGGGATGGTTATTTCACATGTTTCCTGCGGTAACCATGCGCCATACTAAGTATGAGACTTATAAGCCCGGATCCGCGATACTGGCTCCGCGGCCGCCACGTCAATCGTTACGTCATCGCAGTTCGAAGGTGGTGAGACTCCGGTCATTCACTGTCACCAAAATGGTTTACGCACAGACTCAAAAAAGTCAAAAAAAATTTTTTTTGGCTGAAAGCGTGCCTATAAGGGTAATCGATGGTCCTGATCACGATTCTGACACTTATTCTTGACGTCAACCAGTCTGGCGTCAGATGGCCTGCAACCCGAACGAATTATAACAATAGCGGCTCAGTGGGAGAAAGAGCGTGGCCAAATTGGGGATAAATGGCACCGCAGCTGAAATCAAGTGCCATAGTCGTGATCAGGGCACCAAATAACATATAAAGATCATTTTTGAGAGAAGCTCTTACCTAATGGTATGTGAAAATCGGAATTGTTCAATAGCACCGAATTATGGGGTATAACTATTTAGAATGTGCCCCATAAACGGTACGAAACCGGCGAGTACAAATCATATGCAACATTTTATAGAAGCGGCAAAACAGCGACATAAAAAATGCAAAACCCGCGCGACGAGGAGTCGACACCATCAACCCTAACCTCGCCGATCGATTGAGGATCTCTCCACGCTAACCCACTAGCCATCCGAATCGTTTGTGTTGAAAACACTACGATGCATTGAGAGAAACGCCCGACAAGCGCGCTTAGAGCCGCTCATTCTCAATGACGTGCCTCAGGTAAGACCCCATTCGCGGCTATTTTCCTCTTCCACTCCAATAGTACCTTTATAAGGACCCTCCACTCAGCAACTGGTCGAAGTTTCAAGTCATTTTAAGCTCACAGAGGCTCAAAAACCACCGGTTTCCATAGATTTCTTTTTCACTCCTTTTTTGGTATTTCCAGATGCGCGTAGGAAAAATGAACGTCACTTTGGTACTCCATGCACGTGACCCTACATCATGCAAGAAACCGTTTTCAAAAAGCGCTCCACGTCCTGAACGACCTTCCTGGTAAGGTGCTCTTGTTGTACCAAGTGAAACTGTACTTTGGCGAGGTAACGTTCCCGTGGTTTTGCTCCTCTAGTCCTTTATAACTGCGAATCCTGCTTAAATTACTTATCAGGCAATCTTGTATTTAATCCCACCCTCTATTCCACAGTGAGTCAACGATGGCTGTTTTCTCTGTCT